ACAACCAAAGAAATACAAAATTGGTTATAAAAACACTGTAACATTTTGACAAAATATTCTATTAAAAAAATCTATTTATATGTATCTTATGATTGATCTAAGTCCTCTTCAGTCCACCACATACCTGTCTATTTCTGATTTCTACTGTTATTGCCTCTTTGGTTGCTCAAAGTGGGTTTCCTTTTAATATCTGTAGACCTATGGCAGAAAGATATTCTCTCTGGCTTCAGCACCAAGGCAGTGATTTTTGCACTGATAGGGGTACTTCGTTTAGCGTCACCCATGGTGTAGATTGGATAGATTTTGTAAAAGATAGCATTACTTCAAAAGAAACATACAATTTGACAAGCGACTGCATTTTAGTTTCATTTTATTGCCATATTTTTCTTCACACTCATTGTTTTCTAACTGTCACTAAATGGTTCATTTTCTTAGTCTGTTACATCGGTAGGCCTATTTACTGTTTATAAAGCAATATGCACTTACAGGTTTGGGAGATGGTTTGGGCTCTGAGGGCCGCATGTGCAAGTGGGTCATCATTGCTTGAAGACGTTCGCGTTCTTTAGAAAGCTGTTAAGAAAGAGTGAGATCAGAAGCATTTTAGAGGTGACTGATAGAGCTATTTTATTGCAGTGATACATCTTATCATTGAGCTTGTCTCTGAGTAACGATTCCTGCATTTAATAGTCTATATCAGTAGGAACTTATCTGGGAGGAAATGCAACTTTAGCTATGGAGGGGGGAAAAACTTTTATAGCTTTCCTTATGTTAAAAGGTCAGAGAAAACAAATAACACTTCATCTTTTTGTCAATAAGAGAATTGAGGTCACAGTTGCCTCGACAGTAACAAGTTACTGAAACCATAAATTAGAAGGCCCATGGTGTCTCTTTAAAGTCCTGTGGACACTGTTAGCAATGGACTAGTGCCAACAGCTGTGAAGGGGTGAAGGGTTCTCAAAGCGAAGTGCCTGCCAGGATTGTCTACACACTTCATGCATTCCCACTGAGGTCCAGTTAGTGCCCCCTGCAATCTGCCATCATCAATCTAATTCAATAGAGTGACAGAGACCAGGCAGTGTGAAACGATGAACTCTGCCACGGAGTCGGCATCTACACTTGCACTGGGTCTCATTACAACTGACGGACCTTACTTTTCCATCAGTCAGACACAGCAGAAAAAAAAAAAAAAGAGGCATAATTGGTCACACTGCACACTGCATCATCAGCTGAACTCATGTGTTAGCCTACCTTTTATAAATGGTAAACAGGTTTCCAAAAAGCTTTTTCAACTACCAAAGTGATGATGCTTTTTATGTGTTCTTTGATTATTTTACAGGTCAAAACAAAATATTTTTAGTAGCTCCCTAGAAAAACAATAAACGACACAACGACGTGATGAATTTAAACGAATTTAAATGTAGCCAAGTGCGAAGAAAACATAACTGAATGCTTAATTAAATAAAACAAAGTATTACTTTGATTGAGAAAAAATATTCCTTAAGATGAAATATTAGAGGAAGCCTTAAAGGGTTAGTAAAAACATGAAAAGAGTGATACTTGGAGCAATACAAATGCTTTCTCATCAGTTTTATGAATTGTTTACTTTTGGCCAAATTCTGTTTTAAAAATTTACAGAAATGTTTATTTAAAGACAATCAGCAGCATTTGATACAAATGTCACATTTATTACCATTTGTAATACTATAAATAATTTCCCATTACTCCAATTAAAGACAAGTATTAAGAATTTTTGCGAGTTCAAAAAATACCCTAGGAACAAAAAGAAAAAGGTTTTTTTTTTTTCCCCCCCCAGGGTATTATATTACAGACAAGTAATATATTGAGAGATTTGCCTTTTCCTATAATATAAAATACCATGGAAAAATCAAGATTAGTTCATGTAAAAACTATCTCCTTCATAGAATCATATTTAATCGGTCTAACATATATTAGGGGAAACTTGAATTTGACTGTTTGGGACTAGGAAAAAATATGTATGATGTAGGCTAAATGTTCTACAAGTCTAAGTGATAAGTATATTAAACTATAGCAGTCCATTCTGAGTTATCAATCATTGCTATGGTTAAAAACAATCTAAAATTTTATGTAGCTCTATTAGTCACTGTGCTACTGAGACAATGAAATGTGGGTTAAAAGACCCAGAATCTGCCCAGTACTCAATTTAACACACCAGAAACCTGAGAAGAGAGTCCATTAAGTGAGTATTTGACAAACCTGTATTTCTAACTGTTGTACCACCTGCATTTGCACTCGACACTGGGCAGTGCTTCTGTCATCCAATGCATGTTCATTGTTAAGGTGCCTGAACAAACACAAAACACAAAACCGAATGCTAAGCAATGTCTACCTCAATGGTATGAGCTCCACTTAATCAGCATTACGCTAAAGTCCTAGTGACCTTCTCAAAAAAAAAGGATGCCTTGACACCATATAGAGTAAAATTAAATATGCTTACATGTTTATTGAAAATATTTTATGT